ACTTTCGATCGCTTTTTGCTGCCCTTTCTCTACCTCACTGCCTTTTCTTACTTCTCGCTGCTCTTTATGCCTCTTCTTTCGCTGCCCCTTATCTGCCTTTCTCTTCCTTTTGCTTTCTATCATCCTTGTTCGCTCTTCTCCTTTTCGTCGTCTTTGCTCCTTCTTCTACCCCTTTCACTTTTCTGTCAGTCTGGTTTCTGTTTACGCCCAATATTTTTTCATTCTCTTTTGTCTATTTTTCTCTTTCGTTGTTCTTGCTTTCTCTCTCGCTGTCCTCTCTTTCTCACTTCTCTTTCTTTACCGCCTCCCTGATCTCCCTTCCCCTGTCTTTCTTGTCACTCTTGTTTTATTTTTCCTTTGTATATATTCTTTCTCTTGTTTTGTGTTCCTTATATCGTTTTTATCTCTTCTTGCTTCCTTTTCTTCTCGTCTGTTTCTTTTCTCTTTCTTGTGTCTTTTCTTCTCTCATCTCTCATCACCTCTCCTTTTTTCTCTCTCCATTCTTTCTTTCTTTTTTGCCTACAATTTTCCTAGTTTCTTTTTCTTCATATAGTTCTTTTTTTGTCTGTTCTGTTGTGTTTTTGTATCTTTTTTTTTTCCATTGGATTGTTGACGTTTTCGTTGACTTTGTACTTTTTTTGAATAACAGGATCGATATATTAAAATTTATAAAAAAATATTCTGGTACACATTTTTTCTTCTTATTTTCTATACAAGCGAATTTTGCCGCTTCGTTGTGATGATTGATGACTACTCGTCCTTGTCTGTCACAAGTGTGAATCATAGCATCTCTTTCTTGAGCTTTTTTCCGTGCGTTGATTGGTCTGATCGGTAGCCAACCAATAATTTTGCTCCAATGATAAATTGGTGTATATTTCATGGAAGCGGCAAATTCTTACTAAAATGCAGTGACAGATTTTCCAAAGCCAACTTGATGTACATAGGACATTTTATAATAAAATAATCCTTTAGTACCATATTGTGATGTCTTCTACTTTCCATTATGACATTCAACTTCAGTCACTTTTTTTTATTAATAATGCGTATTCTTTTTTATAAGTATATTCTTTTTATTAGTATTGTCTACATCAGTGATCAATTTATAGGGGCACTATCATATTTTAGGTTATCGTTTACCTTGTCCCAGGTTTTGAGCTTGACGTTTTTATTTCATTTTTTCCCGTTGTTTTGGTAAAGGAGTGGCAAAGGTAAATTTTACAAAATAAAAAAAAACACCATTTCATAAGTAGTAAATATATATTTTTCATGGTGTACAATATAAATTTTTGCGTGACTTTGATAAAAACTTACACAAAAAATTGTCACCTATTTTATTTTAGTACTTTTTACTCTATATTAGATTGTAATTGCTATAAATCTCGAAGGAAGTTTAACCGATATTCGTTGAATTTCTTCGTTATATGGTAATAAAACCCTATATTAATAACAGTTTTTGCCATACTTTACGCTGTCTATCAGCTTCGATCCAAAAAACAAAAACCAAACTGCCTGAAAAACCGTTACGATAAATCTTCCTCAATCGAACCCAACATTTCCTGTAATTTTTTGTTTCGACTATAACGATAACAAATCGTTTGTCCAGGATTTCGCTCGCCCTCCCCGACTCGACATGCTGCTGGACATGCCAGCAGCCCTCAGGGAAACCCAGCTCAAGCACAGCTGGAACCAGGACGACCGCTCTCTCAACATCTTCGTCAAAGAGGACGACAAACTGACCTTCCACAGACACCCCGTCGCCCAGAGCACGGACTGCATAAGGGGCAAGGTGGGCTTCACGAAGGGAATGCACTGCTGGGAGGTGTGCTGGTCGACGCGGCAACGCGGGACGCACGCGGTAGTGGGCGTCGCGACGGCGGAGGCGCCCCTGCACTCGGTGGGATACCAGAGCCTGGTGGGCAGCACGGACACGTCGTGGGGCTGGGATCTAGGTAATGCGACGCACGGTTTGTATACCAGTCCGTTCAACTCGACGGGCGATTTTGTCTGTATATAACTGAGTTGTTTTGGTTTCAGGTCGCAACAAATTGTACCACGACTCGAAAAATTGTCCCGGTGTGACGTATCCGACTTTGTTAAAGCCGGACGAGACTTTCATAGTGCCCGATAAGTTTTTAGTAGTGTTAGACATGGATGAAGGGACACTTAGTTTTGTGGTGGACGGCCAGTACTTGGGAATTGCGTTCAGAGGGTTGAAAGGGAGGAAGTTGTATCCGATCGTTAGTGCCGTTTGGGGTCATTGTGAGATCACGATGAGGTACATCGGTGGATTGGATCGTAAGTATTTTCTTTTTATTAAATCGCCCGTTTTTTGGAGTGGTGCAGCCTTGGCATTTTCCTCGATTGCAGAATTCGCTTCTGTAAACAATGCCGATTGCATAACGCGGGAGATTTGTGATTGTATGAACTTGACACAGTAATTAAATTGTGTAAAGAATAATGAAACTGGAGACGATTCGTCGGAAAACACGTCGTCGAGCGTTGAAACCAGGTGGCGCCCGGAGTTAATATAGCGCTGTTTAAAAAATTAATCGCCAATCTCCCTTTAATTAGTTTCCAACCCGGAGAGTAATTGAGTGCCATTTTAGTTCAACTCTAACTAACACTACACCAATTCGGCCGAACGGGTTTTCGTAAATTGGCTTTCGTATCGGGCCGGTTTGACATTGATCTTGTTAAATGTTTACAGCGTTGTTATTTAATTAAAACCGAAAGGCAAACAAACCGGGGGCCGTTCAAACAGCGACGGTTTGCTCCTCCTCGTCGTGTTTGAGAATGCACTTTTTCGTCGGCTCTGTGTACTTTCCTCGATAGAATCCCCGAGCGGTGAATCACTTTTACTAATATAGTCACCGTCGCGGCAGGCGCTAATTGAATTACTAAGACACGTCGTCGTGACCCCAAGGTCACCACACAAACAACATAAACATTTCCTGGCATGCGATAGTTTTGGAACGGAAAATGCGCCGAGTTTCATTGATATTTTCTGCGTCAAGGTAAATTCAGTTTTTTCGGTGGGTGGAACCCACGCCAGCTTGTTTTTTTGTACGAGGACGCAGAATGTACCGTCGTTTGTACAGATGTATACAGCGGACGCGTCAAGCGCCGTCTCGTGAAAGCAACTACATATTTTCCTCGTAACATAACCCCAAATATCACGAATACGAAGTGCGAAAGTCGAAATAATCGTATTCGTGACGATGATGCAAAATATCAGATCTGTGCCAAACAACTGGTTGTAGTTCAAATGTCATCCCGAATGAAATAAACAAATTATGCGGATTTGCAGATGTCAGCTTTGTACAAAATAGAGTCGTTATTTAGCCCGTTCAACAGGTGGTTTTGAAACGTAACTAATTTCGAGCGAACTCCTCACACCGGGTTGGAACTTACGTGTAAATAGAGCTTTTTAAGATTAATCGGTCCAAGAGTGCTTTTCATTTTCAATAGAGGAAGAATTGCGATGTCAACTTTCGATTTTTTGTAGTTTTGACTTTTAACTTGAAAACTATTGTTAAAAAAAGTGGGGTTATGTAACGAATTTTATAGCGCTGTATTTTTAATTGTCCGAATCGAAAGTGACGAATATGCTCATTGAGCATGGTTCATTCAGTCCAGTGAGAGTTCCGAATGTTTGTTTAACATAGTTGTGTATTTATTTTGTTGGTATTTCGTGTTTTGCTTTCACAACGACGTGCTCAATGTGTACATGAAAGTGGCATTTTTGTGAATAAAATTAAATTTCCACGGTAATTTTCAAAATCCGATTCATATTTGATGGAATAATAAGTTGCACAAGGTGTACCGTTGGGCCCTTTACTATTTTCGCTTTAAGGCAGTGACTTTGCGAACGGTAGCGAAGGCGGTCGAGGGCCACTTATTGGTTGCAAAACTTCGATTGACACTAAATAAAAAAAAAAAACATCGATATGTTATTTCAATTAAGAAATGCGGTTCGATTGCATAAAAACATTTTTGTACTGACAATGTCCTGAAATTCTGAGAGTCGCTTATTTCGCCCCTGAGGTCGTTATCGCACGTTTTTTTAAACCGTTTCTGGCATTTTTAAATTAAAAAGGGGATAAATAAAATACCATTCACATACATTTTGAAAATCATATTTCATTGTATTGAAACCTGCATTAAAAAAAGTATTGTATTATCGTATTAATGTCTTGGCTGTTACCGTTGCTACCTTCATAATCACTTCATAATTTAATTACCGAAACAATAATTGAAAATACGATCAAAGACAGCAATGGATTTTTGAAAATTGTAATGTTCTGAGATAATTATAGACTTTTCGTCTTGTCATTTAACCGTTAATTTGAATCATGATATTGATTTTTGAGATAACGAGGTTTGCGCTGCACTTATTGGATATTTGTAAATACATATTATTTTACGTATAACCTCAAACCGTCAATGTCAAACTGATACATTCGAACAAAGGAACACGTTAATGTTGCCAACATAATTTGGCATTGAATTTCAAAGTTCACTGGACGACTTTTTTTCTTCATCATACAATACAACTAGCTCTGCTTTCGTTCCGTCTTTCCCTCCTGTCTTCGTTCTCACGCTGCCCTTTTTCTTTTGTTACCTTTTGGCTCTCTCTCGCTGTCCTTTCTCCCAGTCTCTTACTGCCCTTTCTCTCGCTCTTTTACTGCCCTTTCTCTCGATTTCTTACTGCCTTTTCTCTCGCTGTTGTTGCCCTTTCTCACTCTCTCCACCATTTCCCCCTCTTTCGCTCCCCTTTCTCCCAGTCTCTTACTACCCTTTTCCCAAATCTCTCACTTTCTCACTGCCTTTTTTCTCTTTCTCGCTGTTCTCTCTCTCTCTGTCTCTGTCTCTCTCTCTGTGTGTGTCTCTGTCTCTGTCTCTCTAAAACTCAAGACCTCTTCTGTCTTATTTCTGAAAGAATTGAAAAGAATCTCAGCGACTCTTTGTTTTATTTTTGAAAGAATGTTGGGGACTCCTGTTGTTCTATTTTTGAAGGAATTTGAAAGAATTCTAAAGAATCTTGTTGATCCCTATTGTTCTATGTTCTAAAAAGTTTGAAAGAATCCCAGGAATACTGTCCGTTTTAATTTTAAAGGAACTTGTTTAGTTTTTGGAAGAATTCGAAAGAATCTCGAGAATCCCCATTGTTTGAAAGAGCTTGAAAAAGTCTCAGGAAATAATTATTTTGTGTTTTAACTTTAAAAGAATTCGAAAGAGTAGTGGGGATCCCACTGTTTAATTTTTTTGGAAGGACTTTGAAAGAATTCTGAAAAATTTTAGGAAATGCTGTTTTTTAATGAGAAAAATTTGGTAGTCCCCTCTTATTTTATTTTTAAAAAATTTTGAAAAAAACTCAAAGACCTCTTCGGTCTTATTTCTGAAAGAATTGAAAAGAATTTCTGGAAACCCAGTGGTTTTAAGAGTTTGAAAATGTTTTATTTTTGAAGAATTTGAAAGAATCTCTGGGAATCCTGTTGTTTAATTTTTAAAAGAATTTCACAGAATTCGAAAGAATCTTGGGATACCTGTTGTTTTATGCATGAAAGAGTTTGAAAGAATTTCAGGAACACTGTTTCTGCTTCAATTTTAAAAGAATTCGATTGAGTAACGGGGTTCCTGCTATTTAATTTTGAAAGAATTTTGAAGAATTCAAGGAAACTCTGTTTTATTTTTGAAAGAATCTCGGAACTCTTGTTGTTTTAAGAGTTTGAAACAATTTGGTTTAATTTTTAAAAGAATCTCGAAACTCTTGTTGTTTTAATTTTTAAGGAATCGTAAGAATTTCGGGGTCCTTTCTGTTCTAGTTTTGAAAGAATTTTAAGGAATCTCGGAGATTACTGTTTTTTTTTCTAAGTGTTTGCAAGGATCTCAGCAATATTTTCTTTTATTTTTAAGAGAATTCGAAAAAATCTCGGGGATTCCTGCTGTTTTATCGTTGAATCAAAAGGATCTTGGAGATCCTGGTTGTCTTATTTTTGAAATAATTAAAAGAATTTCTGAAAACACTACTTTCTTTAAGAGTTTGAAAGAGTCCTGGTACCCCTTCAGTTTTATTTTTAAACGAATTTGAAAGAATTTCAGGGATCCCTTCTGATTCCTTTTTGAAAGAATATCGGGGACTCTTTTTGTTAAAATTTTAAAAGAATTCGATAGACTAGCGGGAATCCTGCTGTTTAATTTTCGAAAGACTTTGAAAGAATGTCGGGGACTCCATATCGTTTACTTTTGAGAGAATTTTAAAGAATTTCCGAAAAGCCTTTTTTAAAAGTTCGAAAGAATTTGGTTGTTCTTTCTTTGAAAGAATTTCAGAGACCTTTTCTGTTCTATTTCTGAAGGAATCTCGGGGACTCTTGTTTTATTTTTGAAAGAATTCGTAAGAATCTTGGGGTCCTTTCTGTTCTATTTTTTAAAGAATTTGATGGAATATCGGAAGTTCTTTGTGTTTTATTCTAAGTGTTTGAAAGGATCTCAGCAATCTTTTGTTTTATTTTTAATTATTATAATCTTGAAAGAGTTTGAAAGAATCTCTTCGAGGACTTTTGTTGTTTTATCTTTAAAAGGAATCAAAAGGATCTCCGGGATCCTTGAAAAGAACTTTAAACGATTTGGGGATCGCTATTGTTTTGTTTTTGAAAAAGTTTGAAAGAATCTCGGGTCACCTATTTAATTTTTTAAAGAATTCGAAAGAATTTCGGGAACTCCTATTTTTTAAAGAGTTTAAAAGAGTCTCAGTGTCCCTTCTATTTTATTTTTGAAAGAACTCGAAATAACTTCGGGAAGTCCTGTTTTTTTTAAAGCGTCAAAGAGTCCCAATGTCCCTTCCGTTCTAGTTTTAAAAGAGTTTGAAAGAATCTCAGGGCCCCTGTTGTCTTATTTTTTAAAGGATCCTTGTAGTCCTTGAAAAAGTTGAAAGAAACTTGAAGCCCCTGACGTTTCATCAGCCCTTTTCCCCAGTCTCTTACTGCCCTCTCTCTCTCTCTCTCTCTCTCTCTCTCTCTCTCTCTCTCTCTCTCTCTCTCTCTCTCTGTCTCCTCTCTGTCTCTGTCTCTGTCTCTGTCTCTCTGTCTGTCTCTGTCTCTCTGTCTGTCTCTGTCTCTCTGTCTGTCTCTCTCCTGTCTGTCTCTCTCCTGTCTCTCTCTCTCCTGTCTGTCTCTCTCCTGTCTCTCTCTCCTGTCTCTCTCCTGTCTCTCTCCTGTCTCTCTCCTGTCTCTCTCCTGTCTCTCTCTCCTGTCTCTCTCCTGTCTCTCTCCTGTCTCTCTCCTGTCTTTCTCCTGTCTTTCTCCGGCTGCCTTTCTCTCTCTTTCTCCTGTCTTTCTCCGACTGCCTTTCTCTCTCTCTCTCGCTGTACCTTCTCTCTGTCTCTCGCTGTGCTTTCTCTGTCTCGCTGTGCTTTCTCCCATTTTCTTACTGCCTCTTTTCCCAATTTCTTAGTGCCCCTTTTCCCAATCTCTTACTGTCCTTGTTTCCAGTCTCTTAATGCCCTTTTCCTCAGTCTCTTACTACCCTTTTTCCCAGTCTTTTACTGCCCTTTCTCTCACTTTCTTACTGCCCTTTCTCTCACTCTCTTAGTATACTTTCTCTTTCTCTCTCACTGACGTGTCTTTCTCCCACTGCCCTTTCTTTTTCTCCAACTGCCCTTTCTCTTTCTCCAACTGCCTTTCTCTTTCTTCAACTGCCTTTTCTCTTTCTCCGACTGCCTTTCTCTCTCTTCCGCTGCCCTTTCTCCCTGTCTCTCACTTTCTCACTGCCTTTTTTCTCGCTTTGGCTGTCTTTTTTCTCTCTTTCGCTGTCTCTTTTCTCTCTTTCGCTGTCTTTTTTCTCTCTTTCGCTGTCTTTTTTCTCTCTTTCGCTGTCTTTTTTCTCTCTTTCGCTGTCTTTTCTCTCTTTCGCTGTCTTTTTTCTCCCTTTCGCTGTCTTTTTTCTCCCTTTCGCTGTCTTTTCTCTCTCTTTCTCTCTCTCCTATTTCTCAGTTTCTCCCTCTTGCTGTGCTTTTCTCTCTCTCTTTCTCGCTTTCTCTCATTTTCTTACTGCCTCTTTTACCAGTCTCTTAGTGCCCCTTTTCCCAATCTCTTACTACCCTTTTTGCATTCTCGTACAGCCCTTTTCCTTAGCCTCTTACTGCCCTTTCTATCACTCTGTTACTGTCCGTTCTCTCATTCTCTTAACTACCCTTTCTCTCATTCTCTTACTGCCCTTTTTCTCACCCTCTTACTGCCTTTTCTCACTCTCTTACTGCCTTTTCTCTCGCTCTCTTACTACCTTTTCTCTCGTTCTCTTACTATCCTTTCTCTCGCTCTCTTACGATCCTTTCTCTCTCTCACTGTCCTGTCTTTCTCCCACTGCCCTTTCTCTTTCTCCCACTGCCCTTTCTCTTTCTCCAGCTGCCCTTTCTCTTTCTCCGGCTGCCCTTTCCCTTTCTCCAACTGCTGTTTCTCTTTCTCCGACTGCCTTTCTCTCTCTTCCGCTGCCCTTTCTCCCTGTCTCTCACTTTCTCACTGCCTTTTTTTCTCGCTTTCGCTGTCTTTTTTCTCTTTTTCGCTGTCTTTTTTTCTCTCTCGCTGTCTTTTTTTCTCTCTTTCGCTGTCTTTTTTCTCTCTTTCGCTGTCTTTTTTCTCTCTTTCGCTGTCTTTTTTCTCTCTTTCGCTGTCTTTTCTCTCTTTCGCTGTCTTTTTTCTCCCTTTCGCTGTCTTTTTTCTCCCTTTCGCTGTCTTTTCTCTCTCTTTCTCTCTCTCCTATTTCTCAGTTTCTCCCTCTTGCTGTGCTTTTCTCTCTCTTTCTCGCTTTCTCTCATTTTCTTACTGCCTCTTTTACCAGTCTCTTAGTGCCCCTTTTCCCAATCTCTTACTACCCTTTTTGCATTCTCGTACAGCCCTTTTCCTTAGCCTCTTACTGCCCTTTCTATCACTCTCTTACTGTCCGTTCTCTCATTCTCTTAACTGCCCTTTCTCTCATTCTCTTACTGCCCTTTTTCTCACCCTCTTACTGCCTTTTCTCACTCTCTTACTGCCTTTTCTCTCACTCTCTTACTACCTTTTCTCTCGTTCTCTTACTATCCTTTCTCTCGCTCTCTTACAATCCTTTCTCTCTCTCACTGTCCTGTCTTTCTCCCACTGCACTTTCTCTTTCTCCCACTGCCCTTTCTCTTTCTCCAGCTGCCCTTTCTCTTTCTCCGACTGTCTTTCTCTCTCCTCCGCTGCCCTTTCTCTCCCCCGCTGCCCTTTCTCTCTCCTCCCGCTGCCCTTTCTCTCTCTCCCCCGCTGCCCTTTCTCTCTCTCCCCCGCTGCCCTTTCTCTCTCTCCCCCGCTGTCTTTTCTCTCTCTCTTGCTGGCTTTATGAAATTGTTGACATTTTTTTCTTTTGAAAATCACATACAGAGATTTTTGTTGATTTTGACTTATAGGAGTTGTTTTTGGCTTAATTTTTCGAAAATTTCCATAATTTTTTCAAAATCGCCAATCTGAAGTTTGCAAAGTTTCCAATTTCTAAAAGAAAATTACTTTCAACCCAAATATTTGGAAAATCTTGGGTCGTGGCCATCAACACGCCATATTTTTCTATTCACTTGGTCGAGATCTACACCCAGAATTTGATTATGAATTTTTATTGAACATTGAGGTTAGGTTCAAAACATAGACGTCAAACTGATCAATATGAACAAAGGAACAATTTATATTAATTACCAACATATTTTTTTTTTAACACTAAATACATTTCAGAACTTGCTGGTCGTCTTTTATCTGCTAATTGTGTCTTCTTTTCAAGGAGCAGGATTTAGTAATATGTCGTCTGTCAGAATAATTATGATAGCATGCGATCGAAAAAAACACTCCTGTAGTAGGCCGTGCAATTTATTTTTAAAATAATGATGTTGGCAACACCAACGCGTTCCTTGTTCCTTTTGACAGTTACGCTCAAATAACTATCAAATAAAGAGTCAAATAGCTCGAATACGAACATCATTATTTTAAAAATAAATTGCACGGCCTACTAGAGAAGGTATGGAGGCGGAACAAATCAGTGCCCACTCGGATGTTAGAGTCGCAGATAATATATTTGTGGTCCGTTTACCGAACAGATGGAATGATCAAGATACAATATTAATTTTTCAACTCCATCTGTTCGGTAAACGGAGTCTGTGTTCGTTCAAAATACAAAAATATAAAAAAAAATACATGTATCTGGTGAACTGACGTTCGTTTTGTGTTTGCAGCCGAACCCCTGCCCCTCATGGACCTCTGCCGCCGCGTGATCCGCCAGCGCCTCGGCAAGCAGCACCTCGAAGAGAAAGTGATGAGTTTGCAGCTGCCGCAAGCCCTACAGACTTACCTCCTGTACAGAGATCGCAGATAATAACAGTGCTGTTTAGTGCAGTGAATAAGTGTCCGGACAATTTATTAATCAACGTGTCAGCCATCAGAGCAACCAAAAAGAGGAGGGAGAGAAGTCGAGAGCAATTAACGACGCGGACGTTTTTCGTTTAGGGACGTAACAATTATGATTTCGTTAGTTGGACACACTCAAGTCTTCGCTAGTTTTGTGCTGTGATTGGTAACGATGATGATTTCGTTTGTTTTTTTTTTTTTTTCTTTTTTTCTATTGGTTGAATAATTTTGTATAAATGATCATGGCACGCCCCACTTCCTGATCTCGGGACAAGCGAGCCGCTTGTCTGCTGCTGGTTGAGAGAACAATGCCATATGGTGTACATAGTTGTAACTCAGTCTTCTTAACTTATATTCTCGGCACGGCTTCCTGATATAGCTTTACAAGATAGATTTTAACCTTTTCGGATAGTGCTAGGCAGGGGGTGAGGGGGCGCCAGCCACCGGCGCCGAGAACAACGAATGGGGCGAGCGCTCGAAACCGGGTGGCGCCCTCTACGAGACGCCGATGTGCATTTGTCGAAGCTGGATGGAATTACACCAAGATAATATTAATTGTATGTAAGAATATTAGATTATTTTTGTAAATATTTAGTTAGTGCCAGTCTCATTACACCATAATTTATGTCTGATACGAACAATCGACTGCTCTGTTCTATGAGATTAATGATAATTTTTAAGAGTGTATAAGATTTCTTTTGCATCATAACTGAATGGGGGTCATGTGATGGCCCCTCGTGAGGTATAGAATGTCGGAGTGTATGTCGTTGTGTATTGTGTTAGTTTTTAGATTGTTTATTAAGAAATTTCAAAACTTACGTGTTCATTAGATAAATTTTTGCAATTTCATTGTTTTAATACTTTTCTTTCCTCTTTCTTTCCTTTTTTTGTTTCATTTTTATGCAACTTGGAGTTTTTTTTTTATCGTTTCAGTGATAGATTTCGACCAGTTTTTTTGGTCTTGTTAGAAATATTGAAAATGCAATGCGTAGTGGCCTGGACTACTATGATATTGATAAGTAGTATGTTTTATTGTATTCTAAGTTTCGCTGTGAACGTCGTCCAGGCCTATATTTCAGTTACTCGATGTATGATTATACTATATAAGTAAACTCTTTAAACAAATGTGTTTTTAATACATCACCTAACCTCAAAAAAAATCTTCGTTCCTATTATATTGATAGAAATAACAAAAGTAATGAATTTCTAGTTATGACTAATAATAGAAAAACTAAGATAAAAATAATTATACAGTTGTTTGAAATCTTATTAGAAGAAAATATGTTTATCCCCAGTTCACATGACAAGACAGAATTTTAAAAATGGTAAAATTATGCAATATTGACGGAATTTTGAAGGAACACTTATAAATTGAAATTTTACATATTCATATTTCCACAAGGACTAGAATAAAGCTGTAAATAAGTATAAACCGCCACTAAATAAGTTTCATAGATTTCTAAACCATTTTTTTTATCATCGTAGTCTTTTTTTTAAATTGATTGCCCTATTTTTGCAACATTAAATTTTAGGCGTTGCTAATTTTTGATGATATGGTATATTGCTTATAAAAGACTCTCTTGGAGAAAGTTAAAGTTAGCCCCGCCCACTTACCCGTTCTCATTTATTTTTTTCCGAAATAATTGGTACAACAAAATTAGCGCCTTTTTTGCAGTCTAGTTTTTATCACTTACTTACCACTTCCACTCTGCAGAAAAACATAAAATAAACCCCGCCCACCCACCCGCCTCCATTTCGGTGATTAGTTTTATAAAAAAAAAATAGTACCAAAATTTATTGCAACAAAAAGACGAAATTTATTGTTTAAAAGAAAAAATTAACAGTTTGAATTTAGAGAATTCAAAAATTTTGGATTGTTTAAACTGTTTCCACTTGTATTTTATATTTTCCTTACCACGAATTGTATTTTTATCTGAGATGCCATTCACGTATGTTGTATATGTAATATTGCGAATAAGCGAAGAAACAAAACCCTTGGAATAAAAGGTGTAAGTAGATCGAATAATTTACAGAAGAAGGAAAATAACAATTTATCTGTTTTCTCACCAACGGTTTAACAGATTTGCCGAAGATTCTAGTAAGACAACAAAAATGTCAATAATTGACAGTCGCCAGAATGAAGAGGGGGTGGGTGGGCGGGCCTTTTGCTTGCCTATAAAAGACCAACAAAAAGTTAAACTTAGCCCCGCCCACCCACCCGTTCTGTCATTTTTTACTTCCCGAGCGTAAGCAAAGGAAGTATTGTAATCGAGTCCGTCGGCCGACTCTCTACTTTTACGTTTTCTCGATCTTTCATGACCCCTAGAAGACGAAGAAATAGGTCTCCCATTTCCGTCTGTCTGTCCGTCTGTCCGTCTGTCCGTCCGTCTGTCCGTCTGTCCGTCTGTTGTCCCGGATTTTTATTAGACAGACAATCTCCGAAAGTACTCGACCGATTGTTGTGAAATTTTGTACTTATATTAAGAATATCATGTAGATGGTAAAACGCTAACCAAAATTTGTCTAATCATCCCCACCACTAATGCGATGACGTCACTTCAAAATTGTACATAGTAAATGGGTTTTCAATTGTATAAAATAACATAGTCCTACACATGTAGTTTACAACTCTGAATCGACTTTTCACCCGAAACGTCCAGATTTTTGGAAAAAAAATCAAAATTATAAAACAACATTTTGAAATTTAATTTTTAATCTGCTAACCAGAATGCTTTGAAATGTTGCAGATGTTTTAAGGCTATAAAGAGCATCATAAATCTTTAGTCAAAAAATATTTGCTTATCCCCTCCAAAAACTTGATGACGTCAGCTCAAAAGTTTGTGGAATAAATCATATCTAAAATGTACAAAAGATGATGAGCCTGTACTTGTGATCTATCACTCCATTCATATTTTTTGGATTTGCATATACAGGGTGACTCAAAAAAATTAATGAATGCGTAAATATATTTTATTGATTTAATCAGGAACTACAAAACCGAATGCTCTGAAATCTTGCAGATGTTTTAAGGTCATAAAGAGCATAATAAATGTTTAGTCAAAATATATTTGCTTATCCCCTCCAAAAACTTGATGACGTCAGCTCGAAAGTTTGCCGAATAAATCATATCTAAAATGTACAAAAGATGATGAGCCTGTACTTGTGATCTATCACTCCATTCATATTTTTTGGATTTGCATATACAGAGTGACTCAAAAAAATTAATGAATGCGTAAATATATTTTATTGATTTAATCAGGAACTACAAAACGGAATGCTCTGGCATCTTGCAGATGTTTTAAGGTTATAAAGGGCATAATAAATGTTTAGTCAAAATATATTTGCTTATCCCCTCCAAAAACTTGATGACGTCAGCTCGAAAATTTGCCGAATAAATCATATCTAAAATGTACAAAATAGGATCAGTCTGTACTTGTGATCTATCACTCCATTCATATTTTTTGGATTTGCATATACAGGGTGATTCAAGAAAATAAATGAAAGCGTAAATTTATTTTACTGATTTACTCAGGAACTACAAAACCGAATGCTTCGAAATCTTGAAGACATTTTAAAATTATCATAAGCATGGTAAATTTTTGATCAAAACGTATTTGGTCGTCCCCCCTAAAAAATTTATGATGCCACCACAAAATTTTGCTGAAAAAATCCTATCTAAAATGTACAAAATATGGTGAGTCTCTTCTTGTGATTTATCATTCCATTCAAATTTTTTCGATTTGCATATACAGGGTGACTCAAAAAAATTAATGAATGAGTAAATTTATTTTATTGATTTAATCAGGAACTACAAAACCGAATGCTTTGAAATCTTGCAGATGTTTTAAGGTTATAAAGAGCATAATAAATTTTTAGTCAAAATATATTTGGTTATCTTCTACAAAAAACTGATGACGTCAGCTCAAAAGTTTGCCGAATAAATCGTATCTAAAATGTACAAAATATGATGAGTCTGTACTTGTGATTTATCATTCCATTCATATTTTTGGATTTGCATATGCAGGGTGACTCAAAAAAAATAATGAAGGCGTGAATTTATTTTATCGATTTAATCAGGAATTACAAAACCGAGTGCTTTGAAATCTTGGGAATATTTTAAAGTTATTATAAGCATGGTAAACTTTTGTTCAAAATGTATTTGTTCATCCCTCCTAAAAAAATTGATGACGTCACCCTTAAATTTTGCTGAATAAATCCTATCTAAAATGCAAAAAATATGATGAGTTTGTACTTGTGATTTATCATTCCATTCATATTTTTTAGATTTTCTTAAGAGGTGGTTCAAAAAAATTAATGAAGTCAATTTATTTTATTGATTAAATTAAAGGCAACACTTATTATTAGTATTACACCCCAACCAACCCAATTTGGTAGACACAAAATTTGTTAAAGGAAAAACTCGGTTGAAACATAAGGGTAGCACGCTTATTTACATCGACTTTAACATTACAGACCTGCATTTGTTTTATGCGTTCACTTGATTCCGCGAATGTGAAATAGACATGTTTATAATCAACCAATTGTGAATTTCACCGTCAAGAATTAAAATAAAACGCAATGTTTTATATAATAAGCGGAATAAAACCGATGGTCGTTTTGTTTACAGTTTCTCTGTTTGACTCTCAAGTATGCTGTTACGCCTGTCATCTTAAATTAAGAATGTTTATACATACACGATTTTCAGTTGCCTCTGATACGTAGGTATACGTGAGTAAATTGTTTCGTTATTTTATTGATTATTACAAATCAATATTCAAACGACCCAATTCATTTTCCCGAAAATTTGAGAATATAATAATTTTATTCTTAGTATTACACTACATCTATCCCAACTGATATACGTGTCCTTGCAAAAATGTTGATGACGTCATCGCAATTTTTTTTTAAATTCCCACTACAAAAATGTAATGAGAAAAAAAACACAATAGGCATGCAGTCGTCAAGTTTCCGACAGCGAGGGAAGTACTGTCTAAACTCTTTAGACCAATTTTTTTCTTCTGAAATAAGAAATAAATCTTATAATACTTACTACTAACAAAAAAGTTACGATTAGCGCTTTTTTTACAGCCTAGTTTCCATCAGTTACTTACCACTCCCACTCTGCAGAAGAACATATAATAAACCCCGCCCACCCATCCGTCTCCAAGTCGGTGGTGATTAATTTTATAAAAGAAAATAGTACCACCCCAATTGAAGAGAAGAAGAAGAAGAAACTTAAAACATGTTTAAAATAGTAAATTTTTGTAGAAAAATCTCACAACGAATAAAGAGTTCATAGCAACTGAGATAGGACGGCTGGGTGGGGCTTAATTATTGGCTTCTCCAAATTTACCATTTGATATTTTAACTATTTTATTGTTGAAAGAAGGCCATGTACATACGCTAAGAAAATCAAAAGCTAAGCCCCTCCCACCCACCCCGTCTCAATTGTGATTAATCTTTTTATTCGTCGTGAGTCGAAAGGGCGGAGCTTAAATTACATATGTCTCTACAAGAAAACACGTGGAACATGTTTTAAGTATCGCGTGTTGTTGAAAGAAAACTACACATATTAAGAACAAAAGTCAAAAATTAAACCCCACCCACCCGCCCCGACTCAATTGTAATGAATTTTTTATTGGTTATGGGAACAGGGGGCGGAGCTTAACTGCAAAGTCCATAGGTTTGAGGCACGACCGTATTATAAAAAATAGACTATTTTGCTCAAAAGCAAACTGCCGATTGTGTATTTTATTAAAAATTTTGAAATAACTGATGGCCTAATTTTTGGGTTGAAAAGTATATAAATTCAAACAAAATTTGTTGCCCCCGAAACGTCGGAACTGTGAAACAAGGAACGAGTTAGTAATGCCAACATTAAATTTCAAGGGTTGCTAGATTTTTTGATGATATGGTACATTTGGGTTCTGTGCATACAATTACCATGGCTACAATTGGAAAATACCGAGGATAGAACAACCCATGTGTTTTTTTTTTGTCCCTAGATGCAAAAGTCCACCTCCGTTCTATCCGAAGCCGAGTTTTCTTAAAAATTTATATCAACCATTCGCGCATTCGCTAATTATTTAACAAAAGTGATAAATTTAAGTAAAAACTCACCTAAA